GACATACAATGGGGTGAGGGTAGTTTGAAATCAGAAGTCACACATTAAGGTTGAAGAAAACAGGCTTTATATATGGGGAAGCACAATATATCGTACCAACTTTGGATAGGTCGATGTCGAAATTAAACATTAAATGTTGAATTATATTCACTTTTTCTTTTTAAATTAAAAATAATCAGCAAAATAGATGGCATCAGTGGAAGTGATGGACCAGTAGAAGCCAATTATGTTTGTTCATGGGGTGTGCGATAGACTTACCTCCAAGTGGTGCACCCTGGACAACGTATACTCACACGGCAAAAAGTCTATTAACCGGCAGTTGACTTCTGACTTCAAACTACCATGGCCCGACTGCTTGTCATATTCAACCCCTTCAACAGCACTTATCTTGCCTTTTTCTCTACCTTTGTGTCTGTCTGTCTCTCTTACATCTGTGAATCGCTCTTCTGTTCCCCAACCTCGACTATCTGCTACCTTGATGACCCTTCCCTCTGTGAAGCCCGAAGTCAACTAAAGGGCTAATGATAGCTATCAAAACGCCTGCCATTTAAAATATATATATATATATATATATATATATATATTGAATAAGAATATTAAAGGCAATAAGTCCAACGCCAAATTCATTTTCACCTACGTACCTAGTACAGTAAGTGTCTGCTAGAAAATCTGATTGCATTAAAAAAATTAGCAAACAAATAAAATTGAATATTCAGTAGGTTTTAATTGAGAGCATATACTACATAGATTTATATTTATTTATAACAAATGGCAGGCATTTTGCTAGTTATCATTAGCCCTTTAGTTGACTTCAGGCTTCACAGAAGGGAGGAACATTAAAGTGAAAAAGGTCGAGATGGGGGGGGGGAACAGAAGAGTGTTTCAAAGATGTAAAAGAGACAGACACAAAGTTGGAAAAAGGTGAGGTGAGTACGGTTGAAGTAGTCGAATTTGACATACAGTGGGGTGATGGTAGTTTGGAGTCTGAAGTCAACTGCCGGTTTATAGACTTTTTTGCCGTATGAGTATACGTTGCCCAGGATGTACCACGTGGAGGTAGATCTATCTCACACCCCATACTACATAGATTAAGAATATTGAAACGTTAGTAAGGATAATTGTTCAAGCTAGATTTGCCCTGAAGGAAAAAGAAAGGGTTTCAAGAATAAAATTAAGAAATACTAGAGATAATGGTATGAACGTTAGATATTTAAATGGTTAGATTTAAACGAATTCTCTCTCTCAGCTCATTTAAGATAAAAACTCTGAATAACTAGAGCTGAAATATTATTGACTTTTTTTTATGTTTGAAAAAATATGAAAACCTGAAATATATATTATATCATTAAAATAAATCGTTCCACAACCTTGTAAAACCTTACATAGCTGCTTCACTTTGCCAACTTCTGCATTCTATAGTGCCTAAAATGGCTGCATTCTAAAAATTATTAATATTTAATATACTATTAATTTTCCATAAATTATGCCAAATTAACCCGAAAAGTTCTGCATTGTCAAATTTGGAAATATGAGCTGAAATAAATGTGGATATTTTTGAGTAAACAATGTTGTTAGTAGTTTTTTAACATAGATTACTTGTGTTATATCAAAGAAATAAAATAATTTAAATGGCGACTTTTAAATAAAATAAATAAAAAATTCCATTATTATTTTTGGACTAATATTAATTAATTTTGCAATTGACTTTGATTGTTTAACAGTACTAAAAAACCTAAACGATCAGATGGTCTTAGACCACTATTTTTGATGAGCAAAGTCTTTTATTTATTGTGCCTTGCATTATGCTTTCAAATATAAGTAATGGCACTGCAAGGTTTTTCTTAAACCACATGTGTGGAGGCTACCTATCTCGCCAAGTGGAGCCGGAGGATTTGCAAGTGGTCAATAAAAAAGTCATATGGAGGAATATCTACTTGAACATTGACGTAAATTCGTTTTATATTCTATCTAAATCTATTTAGAAAATAAATACTCTTCTAGGGGAAAAGAATCTCCCTTTGGTTATCAGCGTCGCATTTATCAGTGAGATCGTAGCTGAATTTCCTCTTAACTTCCAGATCAATGATTTTGAAATCATTGCCCAAACGACATCTCGCCACTTTACTCGACAAAATGGTTTGTTTTCTTTTTGAGATTCTGCTCTTTTAATACACAATGCTTTTCGTCGAACAACATTTTACTTTTTTTCTCAGGTGATATGATGAGTTCACTTATATCTAGCGTAACTGCCTTTGCCTTCGCTGCTGCTAAGGTGGGAGTTGAGGAAGACCTCTCGTCTGATGCCGCAGATTTCCAATCAATAATAAATAAGTTTGATCTATTTATGCGGCTCTTCAATCGATCGGAATCGGAGAATTCTGGGCTGGTTGACTATGCTTCGGTCGCGAAAGGGGGTCGTCTTATCGATAACTGTAGGTTTCTGTATTTTAAAGCGTCACTTGCTACCTTCGTAATCCATCAAACCATCACGCAATTCCCTTGCTTTACACTTTTGTACCACTTTACAATATTGACAAATCTTTTCATTCCTTATCTTGGCAGGCCTATTGGTGTGATTACTTTAACATGCGTTTATATATATCAGCACCAACAATTTAAATAGACGAAATTTTAGCTAGATTTTACTTTGGCTCTTACTTGAAATCACGTGAACTGGAGGCTACTTTGGAGCCGGGTTTTCAGATTCGTGCATTGGCATATACGTCAAAGGATATACAGTAAATTGCTGCCGCTATCGTTTCATAACTTCAAAGCATTATTCCAGCTAAAATGATAGACCTTTCTGTCGTATTTGCAGTCCCTTATTCAAATTGCATCCTTTTTTCAGAATTTTATCAGGCGTCTGGTTTTGATATAGTTCAATTTCGTTTATTTTTTTTCAGACGATTTTTTACATTTTTATTTCTGTGGAAATCAATTTTCAACTATCTAGCCGAATTCTGTGCAATTTTACTTGGTTAATCCTGAAAGATTTCACTCTTGTGGAGTTTACTAACAGTTAATATCTCCAAAGCAGATAATATATTTCTAGATATCAAGCTTTACGAATTCGGTACAAATAGGTGTGGATATAATGAACGGCGGTATCAATTCTATTGATCAGAATAGAAATAAAGTAACTTAATCAGTATTACTCTTTGATGCTATTTGTCTGTGCAACGAACTTCTTTTGCGTTCCATTGAATTTATTTTATCTTTTAACCTTAGTAACCTTACTTGTCTGTTATGTTATGAGTCTTCGATATAGTTTGGGATGCATGTTCATTCCTCTCTCCTGTATAATTAATATTTATTACTGTTATAAGTTAGCATTCGTCGACACTGGCAACCTTGCTGGTCTGGTGTGCTAGGTCACAAAATGTAGCTGTTATGGGAGCACTCGATCTCTATTCCGATGGTGTTGTGCGCATTAGTTTAGGATAATAGGCCAGAGATCTCGTGCTCGGTACTCATAGTTCCGGTTCTAGCGATTTTGTCTTATGCCACAAGAATACCAAAACTTTAGTTTCTTGATTAGTTTCACTTTCTGCATTCCGATTAGGTTTTTATAATCATTTATTTATTTATTTCAAATGGCAGGCATTTTGCTAGTTATCATTAGCCCTTTAGTTGACTTCAGGCTTCACAGAAGGGAGGAACATTAAAGTGAGAAAAATTCGGCAGGGGAAAAGAAGAGCGATTCACAGATGTAAAAGAGACAGACAGACACAAAGGCAGAGAAAAGGCTAAATGAGTAGTGTGTAAGGGGTTGAATATGACACAGTGGGGTCATGGTAGTTTGAAGTCAGAAGTCAACTGCCAGTTAACAGACCTTTTGTCGTATGAGTATACGTTGCCCAGGGTACACCACGTGGAGGTAAGTCTATCGCGCACCCATCAT